AGGCTGAGCAGTGCACGTCGGTTGTTGAGATGGCTTTTGGAAGGCTAAAAGGAAGATGGAGGTGCCTCCTAAAAAGGAACGACTCTGAGCTGGAGCTCACCAAAATAATGACAGTGACTTGCTGTGTATTACACAACATATGTGAGGAACATAGCGACAACTTCACTGAATATTGCCATGAACTTGTGTACAACCAACCCCCTTTAGACCCCTTTCAAGAGAATGGTACACAAGAAGGAGCTGACGTTAGATCTGCATTGATGGACTATTTCAACATGGGGGACCACTAATATTACTGCAGTTAAACCTGATCTATTTTGTATCATGCCTCTTACAATAAAATCACTGGATCAGACTTGAATTGTGTTTTGTTTTATTTTGTATACAAATCACAGAATGTAGATACACAGGTATGAACAATATTCTTATAAAAATAGTGCATACCCAAAAGGTTTAGACCAGGGGTCTCCAACCTTTCTTCATCTGAGAGCTACATTTATTCACATAGCACTCATCGGTTGAATTAAGCTACTTTTGTAAACGTGTGAAATTGCAATACTCAAAGCTTATCAAGAATCTTAACTTCACATCAAGGTCCAAGAAAACGACAATTTCTGAAAATTCACATAAATGTCCAAGAGAAAAATAAAATGTTTTCACTTTCACTGTATCATGCCTATCCTTTTTTTCAATAAAATCAATGGATAAGACATATGACTTTGGTTTATTTTACATACAAATCAAAGAATGTCTATACAGACAAGTATGGACAATATTCGTACTGTATATAATATAATAAAGTGTATTTAAAAAAGAATATATACAACGGTGGTCAGGGAAGCCGTCCGACTGAAGAAGGAGGCCTTCAGTCGCAGTCTTACACGCTTCTCTGCGCTCTCTCCTAGGCAGTCATCCATAGGAATCCCGAACCCAATAAAATACCCAATATTAACGGTGTGTGTGTCTGCCCAAGGACAATTTAAGGTAAAACCTAATAGGTGTCATACATAATAACCTAATAAAAGTAAATATGAAGCTTAGCGCAAGTTCAGACAGGAAGACCTATCACTCCGTATTGCACGTCATGGCAATACTCGCTCCCTGCATCTAAATGAGAGGGAGCGCCACTCCTCAGCTAACCTATCACTCCCCTCCATTTACAAGCCTAATCATCGCACCTGTTAATCCCTCTATATATGCTCTCCCCTTTCCTATCAGCTGTCTTCCAGGTGTCAACGCGCAAGCAGCAGCAGGGCTTCGTCCCAGCTCCAGGCATTATTCATCAGCTCCGCAGTCTTGCGGATTAAGCTACAGGCGGCGTCCCCCAGTCGGCTAGCGGTTTCAGCCGGCCGCCCCGCAAACCCGGACGCGGGAGGAAAAGACAAGGAAATCGGGCTCCACGGAAGTTCCTCCGGCTAATGGAAATGGGCTACTTCACGCAAACAATTGACGCACGCCTTCAGTCTCTCAAGAGGGCATCACCGGCATCAGGGCCGCTCAAATGCGGCGCTTCCGGCTTCACGCGGAACGGGTCCTCATCGCATGCGAAGCTTTACCCATTGGCTTCAACCACAACCCCTCCTGCAGGCAGGCAGGGCGTAAGCTACATCCCATTGAAGCTACTTCCTCCTGCGCCTCACCTCTAAAACAGGCGTCAGGGTAGCGCTGGCAAGAGGCAGTTGCAACAAATTCACGAGATGTTTCGTATATCGTTATGACATTTGGGTCATCCAGAGTGAGATCGCTACCCCTTTAAGAGAGGGGTGTGGCACGTGCCTGTGTGCGTGGGCATGGTATGGTAGAGCGAGCGGGATACATGTTTTCTAGAAATAACGAGGCAGCAGAAAAAGGAAGGTCTGTGATCTTGCGAAACAGAAGAGCTAAATAATGCAACGACCTCCCAAGAAGAGCTTGCCTCTTTCCAGTATTTCAGATAAAATGGGTTATTGAACCCGAAGCGTGTTGCTTCTGCCCTGGGAGACGACAGAGAGTCATCCCCCCGTTTCCTCGACTACGGTCTGGGAGCCGACAGGAAGTTCAACACTATGCATTGCTACCTTTAGTTCAGGGTTAGGTAAGTCCCAGCAGGCAGTGTTGGGTGTACGTGTTACAGTATGGAGTTCAGTAACGTATTACTTGCATTACTAATGCAGTTCGGGTAATTACTACCCATTACAATGCTCAGTAACTAACGCAGTTTCAAGCTTCAACACAGTGTTACCTGAAATAAATGGCGTTTCGTAGGGCTTCTTTTCCTCAATGACCAAGTCGCTGCACATTATCCTGTTTATGACACGACCAGATACTAAATAAATTAGGAATTCACTCCCAATATTAATTTAATGATATTGACTGAATGATCGTTTTTTTCTCTCTTTCTTCTCCACTAAGAAATATTCCATTTCTCGTTGCACCAACGGCTGGATCTGCGACAACAACATCTCCTCGGCAGTAGGGGTGCAACAACTAAACGACTTAATCGATTACCAAATTAGTTACCAACTCATTCAGTCGTCGATTCATTGGTGACGTCATCACGTGTGTTTTACGCGCCGTTAAGTTCCAACGTGTTGGTCTTTTATCGGTACCGGAGACATTTATAGGGTATGTGTCGTGTATTATTGCTGGGGCACATTGTATCGCAGTCTTAGTGTCGCCAACTCGTTTCTAATATGCAAGACAGCAGATGCGTCTGTGATGTTTTGATCAGATGAGATCTCTCCCCCATCTGTGTGCGAGGGGGCGGGGCAGTTTACACACACGCAGCTGCTACATGCAGCGGATCACACTGCGGAGATGGCGGAGAGAACGCGCTCCGAGGTGTGGTTAAACTTTACCCGTCTCGATGTGGAGAATACTTGTTACTGTAGAGGAAACTTCTGTGTAGCTATGCAGTGGGAGTCACCGACTCAGGAAGGAGACACGGTAGGAGCTGTAGCTTTGATGTCAAACACATGATGGTTTATTTGGAGTTAACGGCCGGAGGATTCACATCACAAGTCCAAGAGTCAGAGGTTCTGACTTCACGGTAGAGTTGCCACGTCAATTCTGGAGAGCCTCTCTCTTGCCAGCCCATCTAACTGGTTTCGCAGAGAGTAAACAACATATTTGAGGAGATAGCCTAAACAGTGTGGGAACACAGAGCTACTTGCCTCGGACACTTATGACCTCGAAGATTTTACCTTGGAGTCCACAAATACAGAGAAGGAAGTGTCCCAGTGTACCCACAACACAGACCATCTGTATCCCAGTATTGACCGGTCACAGAATGGGAACAATAACATTATTGGCTAAGCCGCCTGTGTCCTTAAAGAAGGTAAACAGACATCGAGGTTTGTCCTGTATGTTACTAATTGGCGTCTTATGATAATTATTTCCACAACAGTTACCATAAGTGCAATAAGAGTTTAGCATGTAAGGGCGCACGAGCAATTTGTCTAAACATTTAGCAAAAGTGCACCGCATGCAGACGGAGGAATGTACCGGGTTCGACCGTCTTTCTAGCAGCTCTGTAGCCCCATCCACGAGTAACGTTTCCACGTCATGTGTTATGTATACTAGCAGCAACACACGGAGTTAACTACATTATTCAAACACGGGTTAATGATTAGAGGTAACTGAGTATTTAGTTTGTTAAATTTCAGCTATTCTGTTTACAGTCTGTCATCAGATTATTTAATACGTTTTTGTTAAAAGCTCAGGGCAATCTCGATGACAAAGGTCAATGTTCCCCCCTTTCTACGCACGGAGATAATGTAATCTTAATAGGTTGCAGGCCAAGGCTGGCTCTTCAAAGCAGATATTAACGACGCGCTTTAAAGTTCCCATCATCGTTCCGCGGAACTCTTTCAGCCTAAGCGGCAGTCAAGTAAGGAGAAACTACGTGTGCACCGGCTATTCGGGTAAATAATATTAATAGCTGTCTCTCCCCAGTTCAAATCACCCACTGCTCAGGGAGATCTCCTCATGCGTTGCTTTACGCATCTAGTGTTCAAATACAACATTACTAACCTATAACTCTGCTCAACTGGGAAAAGAGAAGAAGAAAGAAGAAGAGAATCCTCCAGGAGCACAGCGTTCCTAATCATGAGGAACTATAGGCCCAGTCACACACCTGGAGTTCCTAGGCATCACATCAAGCTCATGGTATTAACGTTCCTCTAACCAAACTGCGTTCATCCACATAAACGTCTTCAACGACAGTTGCTCTTCCTCATCGGGCAACCGTACTTTACATGCGGATATTCTTCGGCACGCCATCATCTCCCGTTTCCTGGACGTGGCATCCGTCGGCCTCACGACGACCGCGTTTTCCCCGACTTAAGGACGTGCACCGCACATCCTCTGTTTTGGGGGGGACATCTGCATGAGATCATCCGCATAGCGGCACACTCAGATTTCCACTATTGCTACATATTTATTATCACACTCGCTGGATCTAACACCTCGAAAGAAGAAGTCAATCTAAAAAGCATCCGGGGCCTCTTAGCAGGAGTGCAGTTTAACGTTCGCTGTTCCGATCCCGGCTTTCCCAGCGTTCGCAAACAAGTCAGTCAAACTCATCCTCAAAGGTCTCATTAGAACTTCTCCCCCCATCTTAGACCGGAGACGCCCTATTACACTCTCCACTTTACGCCTCATGCTCTCCAAACGAAACGAAAGAAGTGGGTTATTCTCCCCTTATATCGATGCGCTACTCGACGCTCTATTTCTCCTAGCTTTTATGCCTTTCTCAGACCAGGTGAATTTACCACAGCTTCTCTTACATTCGATTCCAATCGAGACGTCAGCTTTTCTGACATATCCTTTCACGCTAGCCACTTTAGCTTATATCTTAAACACTCCAAATGCGGCGACGCTGCTCCGTCATCGCCGCCCGCATCGACTCCCAGTTCTGCCCTTATAAATCCATGATCAAATTCCTACAGCTTAGACCTACCTCTAATCCTCTCTCAACATTATTTCTTATCTCAGGGAATTTTCCTTTAACTCAACGACAGTTCAATATCTATTAAAAACAAGTCCTCATTAAATCCGGGTTCACCCCTTCTATACACGGGGCATTCCTTTAGAATAGGCGCAGCTACTTCCGCTGCTAATCAAGGTGTCTCATCCTCATCCCTGCAACAACTCGGACGGTGGTCCGCCTCCGCTTTCTCATCCTACATTCACCCTGACCTCAATGCCGTGCTGGCTATCCAAAGGTCTCTCCAACCTGAAATTGGTACGTATGCATATAACTGGTGGTGGTTCCTAGCATGTCAGCACGTATGTCGCCCCGCGGCTCATGTTTATTCCTGCATATCTAACCCTGTATGTCCAGGTTGTAAAACCTTCGGGTCTGTTAAATGTGTCCCTGCTAAGGCAGGTTGCCCCGCACGTTCGGGAAGCCCTGCCCGTTCCGGGCGCCACGCACGTCGGGTCGCCCGGTGCGTCCGGGATGCCCTGTATGTCCAGGATGCCCTGTATGTCCAGGACGCCCCGTATGTCCGGGAAGTCCCGTATGTCCGGGACGCCCTGTACGTCCAGGATGCCCCGTACGTCCGGGAAGCCCCGTATGTCCGGGTCGTTAACCTCCGGTCCGTATAATGTGTCCCTGCTAAAGTCAGGTTGCCCCGCACGTTCGGGAAGCCCTGCACGTTCCGGGCGCCCCGCACGTCGGGTCACTCGGTGCGTCCGGGATGCCCCGTACGTCCGAGACGCCCTGTATGTCCGGGACGCCCTGTATGTCCGGGATTTCCCGTACGTCCGGGACGCCCCGTACGTCCGGGACGCCCCGTACGTCCGGGATGCCCCATCCGGGATGCCCCGTACGTCCAGGATGCCCCATCCGGGATGTCCCGTACGTCCGGGATGCCCCGTACGTCCGAGACGCCCTGTATGTCCGGGACGCCCTGTATGTCCGGGATTTCCCGTACGTCCGGGACGCCCCGTACGTCCGGGACGCCCCGTACGTCCTGGACGCCCCGTACGTCCTGGACGCCCCGTACGTCCGGGACGCCCCGTACGTCCGGGATGCCCCGTACGTCCAGGATGCCCCATCCGGGATGCCCCGTACGTCCGGGAAGCCCTGTATGTCCAGGAAGGATGCCCGGGAGGCATCAGATGTTTACATTCTCACATGTATTAACTCTCATTTCCATCCATAGATTTCCACTGCATCCCACAAGGTAAGATCCTTCACGTTCAGTACTTCATACTTCATTCTTTTGGGGGTTCATCGGAAACGGTTCTTCCCTTCCCGATTGATATCCTACAAAACCTGGGCCTAATCGCCAAAACACCATTTCATTCACTTGTTATGAATTGTCATCATTATGTTTCATTTATATAATGTAACCGATAATAAATATGTATTCCATACATCACGTCTCTCCTGATTGAAATGAAGCTTAGCGCAAGTTCAGACAGGAAGACCTATCACTCCGTATTGCACGTCATGGCAATACTCGCTCCCTGCATCTAAATGAGAGGGAGCGCCACTCCTCAGCTAACCTATCACTCCCCTCCATTTACAAGCCTAATCATCGCACCTGTTAATCCCTCTCCCCTTTCCTATCAGCTGTCTTCCAGGTGTCAACGCGCAACCCTCCTCCACCCCTTCGCCTCCTGCTTTCAACTCAGGACCAAGCTTAACCTTAAGCTTAACCTTCTCCCTTCCAACCGGACCTAACCACTTGTCACCACCACCAGTGTCTAGACTCATCGGAAACGGTTCTTCCCTTCCCGATTGATATCCTACAAAACCTGGGCCTAATCGCCAAAACACCATTTAATTCACTTGTTATGAATTGTCATCATTATGTTTCATTTATATAATGTGACCGATAATAAATATTCCATACATCACGTCTCTCCTGATTGAAGTAACAACTACTACAGTGCAACAAAACAGGAATATTAAATGTGATCTCTTAAACATAAGATCTCTAGCATCTAAAGCAATATTGGTAAATGATTTAATATCAGATTATAATATTGATATATGCTGTCTCACTGAAACTTGGTTGATACATGAAGAATATGTCAGCATAAATGAGGCCACTCCACCCAGCCGTATCAATACTCATATTGCCCGAGGCACGGGCCGAGGAGGTGGAGTTGCAGCAATCTTTGACTCAAGTTTACTTATCAATACTAAACCAAATTTAAATTATACCTCCTTTGAAAGCCTCGTTTTTAGTCTTACGCATCCGACCTGGAAAACTTTGCAGCCAATCTTATTTGTTACAGTGTACCGTGCACCAGGTCCGTATTCAGAATTCTTATCAGAATCCTCTGAGTTTTTATCAACTTTGGTACTTAAAACAGATAAAGTAATTATCGTAGGTGACTTTAATATTCATGTTGACGATGATAAAAATAGCCTTACTGTTGCATTTAACTCTATATTAGATTCTGTTGGTTTCTGTCAGAGTGTAAATAAACCAACCCACTGCTATAATCACACTCTCGACCTTGTTCTGATTTATGGTATTGAAATTGAGCAACTATTAGTCGAACCGCATAATCCTGCTTTATCCGACCATTTCTTAGTACGTTTTGAAGTACTATTACGAGACTACAAAGCATTAGTCAAAAGCTCTTGCAGCAGAAACCTATCTGTTAGTGCTATAGCCAAATTTAAGGAAGAGATTCCACCAATACTTAACTCGATAGCATGTCTGCATGTAAGGAAGGAAACTTATACAAAATGTACACCACCCCAAATTGATCATGTTGTTGATAGTGCTACAGATGCGCTGCGAATAAAATTAGACTCTATTGCTCCTTTGAAAAAGAAGAAAATAAAACAACATAGATTAGCTCCATGGCATAATGCCGAAACCCGCAAAATAAAGCAAAAGTCGAGACAACTTGAAAGGATATGGCGTTCCACTAAACTTGAAGAATCTCGTTTAATTTTGCATATTACTCGCAATAAATATAAGAAAGCACTGCGTAAAGCGAGAGCAGCCTACTACTCTTCATTAATAGATGAGAATAAGAATAATGCAAGATTTCTTTTCAGCACTGTAGCCAGGCTGACAGAGAGCCACAGCTCGATTGAGCCTTCTATTCCCATAGCACTCAGTAGTAATGATTGTATGTGCTTTTTTAACGATAAAATTGTTATACTTATAAACAAAATTAATGACCTCTTGCCTTTGACCAGTATAGTGTTATCAACAGCTCCCGGAAACGTAAGTTCTAATATTACACTAGATAGTAAATTAGAATGCTTTTCAGCCATTAACCTTGAACAATTAAATTCAATGATTCTCTCTTCTAAACCATCAACGTGCATGTTAGACCCAATTCCAACTAAGCTGTTGAAGGAAGTTTTTCCATTAATTAGCACTTCTTTATTAAATATTATGAATATGTCTTTATTATCAGGCTATGTTCCACAATCATTCAAAGTAGCAGTGATAAAACCTCTTCTTAAAAAGCACAACCTCGATCCAGAGGTTTTAGCCAACTATAGACCTATTTCTAATCTTCCGTTCCTCTCAAAAATTATTGAGAAAGCGGTCGCAAAACAGCTGTGTGATTACTTAAAAAACAATGATTTATTTGAAGATTTTCAGTCTGGCTTTAGAACACATCATAGCACAGAGACAGCTCTGGTTAAAGTCACAAATGACCTTCTAATAGCCTCAGACAAGGGACTTGTCTCTATTCTTGTTTTGCTCGATCTCAGTGCTGCATTTGATACTATCGACCATGATATCCTATTGCAAAGACTAGAGAACTTAGTTGGCATACAGGGAACTGCTTTAGGCTGGTTTAGGTCCTATCTATCTGAACGCTCTCAGTTTGTACGTGTTAACGATGAATCTTCCACACAAACCAAAGTTAGCCATGGAGTGCCACAGGGCTCAGTGCTCGGACCTATTTTGTTCACATTATATATGCTTCCGTTAGGCAATATTATAAGGAATCATTCTGTAAACTTTCATTGTTATGCGGATGATACTCAACTATATTTATCAATCAAGCCTGATGAAATTAATCATCTAAATAAAATTCAAGACTGCCTTAAGGACTTAAAAACGTGGATGACCTTAAATGTTTTGATGTTAAACACGACCAAAACTGAAGTTATTGTACTTGGCCTGAAGAATCTATGAAACAAATTATCTAAAGATATACTAACTATGGATAGCATTAATTTGGCCTCCAGTGAGACTGTAAGGAATCTTGGTGTTATATTTGATCAGGATTTATCCTTTAACGCCCACATAAAATCAATTTCAAGGACCGCCTACTTCCATCTACGTAACATTGCAAAAATCAGGCATATCTTGCCTCAAAACGATGCAGAGAAACTAGTCCATGCATTTGTTACTTCAAGGCTGGATTATTGTAACTCCTTATTATCAGGGTGTACCAAGAAGTCAGTCAAGTCGCTTCAGCTGATTCAAAATGCTGCAGCTCGTGTACTAACCAGAGTTAGGAAAAGGGACCACATTACTCCTGTTCTGGCTGCCTTACACTGGCTCCCTATAGAACACAGGATAGAATTTAAAATTCTTCTTCTCGCCTACAAAGCCCTTAATGGGCAGGCGCCATCTTACCTTAAAGAACTCATTATACCCTACTGTCATATTAGGGCATTGCGTTCCAAGAATGCAGGGTTGTTGGTTGTTCCTAGAGTCTCTAAAAGTACAATGGGAGCCAGAGCCTTTTCTTATCAAGCTCCACATTTGTGGAATCAGCTTCCAGTTTGTGTTCGGGCGGCAGACACCCTATCAATTTTTAAGAGTGCGCTTAAGACCTTCCTTTTTGATAAAGCTTATAGTTAGGGCTGATTAGATTCAGCCCCTAGTTTTGCTGATATAGGCTTAGTTTGTCGGGGGACATCTTACTTCTTCCTTCTCTCTGTCTATACCTGTGTACTCTCATGTTCCGATTAACCCAGCTTCCCCAAATGTCTTTCTTTTTGGTGTCTATATACGCCGGGATCCGGAGACATGGATGATCCTGCGGTCCTGTGTCCTGGATCGCGAGCCCTGGATCTTGAGTCGTGGCTGTGGTCCTGGATCATAGGTCCTGGATGGATATCCTCGTGGATTCATCTTCCTATTATACACACATGCATTTCCAAACATTTGGACTACCTATGTTGCAAATGTATTATCTTTTCAATTTACACACGGCATCTATTGCACGTCTGTCCGTCCTGGGAGAGGGATCCCTCCTCTGTTGCTCTCCCTGAGGTTTCTCCCATTTTTCCCTTTAAACTGTGGGTTTTCTCCAGAAGTTTTTCCTTGTACGATGTGAGGGTCTAAGGACAGAGGGTGTCGTATTGTCATACTGATATTCTGTACACACTGTGAAGACCACTGAGACAAATGTAACATTTGTGATATTGGGCTATATAAATAAACATTGATTGATTGATTGATTGATTGATTCAGGGATTTGTTTTCCCGGGAGACTCCCGAGGCAGTTGCAAGGGACCGACGGGCCCGAAGGGCATTAGCCTCAGCCGTGGCCGAGGCAAAGCAGCGGGTGTGGGAGAAGTTCGGAGAAGACATGGAAAAGGACTTTCGGGCGGCACCAAAGTTGTTCTGGAAAACTGTCCGACACCTCAGGAGGGGGAAGCAGGGAACCATCCAAGCTGTGTACAGTAAGGATGGGACGTTGTTGACCTCAACTGATGGAGTGTTAGGGCGTTGGAAGGAACACTTTGAGGAACTCCTGAACCCGACAACTCCGCCCTCTATGTTAGAGGCAGAGCTGGAGTATGACGGGGGATCAACACCAATCTCCCGGGGGGAGGTCACTGAGGTCGTCAAACAACTCCACAGTGGCAAAGCCCCGGGGGTGGATGAGATCCGCCCGGAAATGCTGAAGGCTCTGGGTGTTGAGGGACTGTCATGGTTGACACGTCTCATCAACGTTGCGTGGAAGTCGGAAACAGTACAGAAGGAGTGGCAGACCGGGGTGGTGGTTCCCCTTTTCAAAAAGAGGGATCAGAGGGTGTGTGCCAATTACAGAGGCATCACACTACTCAGCCTCCCCGGGAAAGTTTACTCTAAGGTACTCGAAAGGAGGGTCAGGCCGATTGTCGAACCTCAGATTGAGAAGGAACAATGCGGATTCCGTCCTGGTCGTGGAACGATGGATCATCTTTTTACTCTCGCAAGGATTCTGGAAGGGGCCTTGGAGTACGCTTATCCGGTCTACATGTGTTTTGTGAACTTGGAGAAGGCGTATGACCGAGTTCCCAGGGAGTTACTGTGGGAGGTGCTGCGGGAGTATGGGGTGAGGGGGTCTCTACTCAGGGCCATCCAATCTCTGTACTCCCAAAGCGAGAGCTGTGTCCGGGTCCTCGGCAGTAAGTCGGACCCATTTCCGGTGAGGGTTGGCCTCCGCCAGGGCTGCGCTTTGTCACCAATCCTGTTTGTAATATACATGGATCGGATTTCGAGGCGTAGTCGTGGGGGAGGGGGTCTGCAGTTCGGTGGACTAAGAATTGCACCACTGCTTTTTGCAGATGATGTGGTTCTAATGGCTTCTTCGGTCTGCGACCTTCAGCACTCACTGGATCGGTTCGCAACCGAGTGTGAAGCGGCTGGGATGAGGATCAGCACCTCCAAATCTGAGGCCATGGTTCTCAGCAGGAAACCGATGGACTGTCCACTCCAAGTAGGGAATGAGTCCTTACCCCAAGTGAAGGAGTTGAAGTATCTCGGGGTCTTGTTCTCGAGTGAGGGAACAATGGAGCGTGAGATGGGCCGGAGAATCGGAGCAGCGGGAGCGGTACTGCAGTCGCTTTACCGCACCGTTGTGACGAAAAGGGAGCTGAGCCAGAAGGCAAAGCTCTCTGTCTACCGGGCCATTTTCGTTCCTACCCTCACCTATGGTCATGAAGGATGGGTCATGACCGAAAGAACGAGATCGGGGATACAAGCGGCCGAGATGGGTTTTCTCCGCAGGGTGGCTGGTGTCTCCCTTAGGGATAAGGTGAGAGGTTCGGTCATCCGGGCGGGACTCGGAGTTGAACCGCTCCTCCTTCGCGTCGAAAGGAGCCAGTTGAGGTGGTTCGGGCACCTAGTTAGGATGCCACCTGGGCGCCTCCCTAGGGAGGTGTTCCAGGCACGTCCAGCTGGGAAGAGACCAAGGGGTAGACCTAGGACCAGGTGGAGGGATTATATCTCTTCGCTGGCCTGGGAGTGCCTTGGGATCCCCAGTCAGAGCTGGTTGATGTGGCCAGGGAAAATAAAGTTTGGGGCTCTCTGCTGGAACTGCTACCCCCGCGACCCGACCACGGATAAGCGGGAGAAGATGGATGTATACAACAAAGTATTCACAAAAAAGTGTGGGGAACATACTGTACTATTATTAAGTGTATTTAAAAAAGAATGTATACAAAAAGGCATGAACAATTTAGATACAAAAATAAGGTCAGTGTTTGTTGTTGGTCTCCGTCACCTTCACCATCCTGTCTAACAAGCCAAGCATGTGGCTGTTCTGCTCGGTTCTGGTCTTCTCGATTCTGCTCTGCTCTGTTATGTTGAAAACCCTTAGGAACTCAGCATTGGTCTCCTGCACCTCCTGAAGCATCGCCCGGCTGTGCTCCAGTAGCTCTTCATCCCTGACGTCACTCTTCTCCATAAACAAGACAAGGCCAGGTGACGAATCCCGCTTCCTTTTAACTACAAAGGGAAAAATAACAAAAATAATAAAGTCAACACCGTATTCATGACATTCTATGAGGTGTAAATGATATACTGTGTAATGAAATGTTTTATTGTTATTATGGCTGCAGTTGCATAACTTGAACAACTACTACAATGACAATGCCATGATAAATGGCGACAGGGAACAGTATTACTATTATGACCACTGTAAACCTTACCCTGTTTGTGTCGGCCCACTGGCGGTCTCTTTATTAGTTGAATTTCCGCTAAGCTCAGAGGCAGTCGCAATTTTTACAGGCTCCCACTACCTGTTAGCATCTGGCATCTCTTAGCATCTAGCTCTCCTGCTTACAAACATTTAGCCATCCCTGCTTATACAACATCTTGACTGGGACAGTAATTGCCCTAAACCTTTCACACTCAAGAATGCCATCAAAACACCCTGAGGATGATGTGCTACTTCAAAGAGCAAATAAACAGATAACAGACCTTAAGGAGGATATCCGACGGCTTTCTGACAAACTGAAAGAAAAAGAGTCTCTCGTGTCCGGTCTCATGGAGGTAGCATCGGTGCAGTCTAAACAGCTTGCCTCGTTCAGTGCAACTATCCATGACACAGTTCTGTGGAATCCTTCCACCTGTCCGCGGCCTTCCGACTGCTCCACCTGGCCACCAGCAGTCGTGGTCTGAAGTGATGCGCAAGAGCTTTTTGAATGGGTTAACTTCACCGCCTCGCCTGGGCCTTCGGAACCGCTTCGCGGCCCTGTCCGACAATCCGGTACATCCAGTTGATGCCCCCGCGGCACTGACCCGTCCAGATGATCCGGCCCGTCCAGCTGGTGCTCCCGTGGCGCTGGCCCGTCCAGACGATCTGGCCCGTCTAGCTGATGCTCCCGCGACACCGACCCGTCCAGATGATCTGGCCCATCCAGCTGATGCTCCCGCGGCACCGACCCGTCCAGATCTGCACCCTGCCGCTTCTGCAACTTCTGCGCCGACAGCATTTGTGCTGCTTCTCAGGCCACTGTAGAGTCAACTCGGTGTCCCTCATCCCGTCCGGCGACCACCTCTTCACGTCGTAGACTCCTCAAAGAGACCGTGCTGAGACACTCAGGAAGTTTGTCGGGTCCTGAGCCGGCAAGAAAATCCTCTCCGAGCCCAGCTGTTTCTGCTCGGTCACCAAATCTTCAATCACCGGCACCCCCTCGTCCCCTGTTTACCCCAACCACATTAATAATCAGGGATTCCATAATCAGAAACGCGGCCGATTTTTCAACGCGGCCACGCGCTGCCTCCCTGGAGCCACCGTCCTGGTTATCCTGGAGAAACTCCCGGGGCTGCTGCTCCAGATACCACCCCTTTTATAAAAGGGGTGGTATCTGGAGCATTCGACCTGTGAATGACATGTGAACACGCACCTAACTTGATAGGACACGGCTGGCTTGAGCGAACGAGTTGATAGCCAGCGTTGTAGGACAGTTTAGCGAGAGCGGCTTCGTTTTGGATTAAGTCAACCGGATAACTCAAAACATATCCAGGATAGGTTGAACTAGATTCGTAGTATACCCCCCTGGTCGGGACCAGGGGGACTTAATCCAAAATGAAGCCGATCTCGCTAAACTGTCCTACAACGCTGGCTATCAACTCGTTCGCTCAAGCCAGTCTTGTCCTATCTAGTTAGGTGCGCAGAAGTTATCTTGCTAAACGAAAATCCTGCTTCGTAGTATACCCCCCAGGTTAGGTTGCAGGCTAAGAGCTCAACTCAGTGAAAGCACTGCCTGCTGACCAATCAGAGCTCAGTGTGCGGAGTTTAAAGCGATCAAGTCATATTACAGGAGAAAGGAAATGCAGGAAAGACGGCCGGCAAAAATCACCGACTGTGTGAACGTGAACATTAATAGAATATCACCTCCCATCTTCAGAGCAATCTGACTATTATAACATTAGCGTTAAGAAAGCTTACTTAAATATCTGCCACAACATAAGTAACCGGATCAGAGTAACATTAAGTACAGTCCGCGGCATATCACATCATAATGTATCATATATTTTCTTATCTCAGTCAGCTGAGCCGTATCTGGCCGTGCAACACTCACAGTGTCACATACTGTATGCAGAAGTATTATTTTAAGCAACACATTAAGTTGACGAAACACTCGAGACAAATGTAATTAAAGTCAGATCCACTCGTGTTTTAGACGGGGCAGTCTGTTAATGTATGCATTCAAACACTTTTTCTTTTACCAGCTGTATTCATGGGAGTTTCAGCAACAGCTCTAAACTGGTTTAGCTCCTACTTGAAGGACAGAACAAATCAACCCTGATAAATATGTCATGCGGGGTTCCTCAAGGCTCCATCTTAGGACCTTTGCTTTTTAATATTTATATATATTTATAACACATTTTAATGGCCAAACTAACCTTAAAATAGGCATTTTCCACCGAGAATAAAACGAAGTTCGGCCATGGTTTTTTTTTCTGCAGGAAGACATTTGAAGATCACGTGACATAGACGCCAGCCATTGGAATGAATGGTGAAAAAAAACGTAGGGATCTTACAATTTCAGAGGCGTTTTTGTAGAAATACTACGTCCCAAGTTGTGGACCAACGTAGTTATTGCACGTTTTTTGTGAGACTGGGTTGGAGGCTCTGACAACCTCAGCTCAGTGAGGTAAATAGTTATAAAAAAAGAGAATAAATGAAAAAAAGTTATAAAATACTATATGACGGTACAAAAAAGTTGTTATTAATAAACAAGAATACAGTTTGAAAGGGGAGTGATTTGTAAAATATCCATAAAGAAAAAGAAAATCTGCTTACAATTCTGTTTCATAGGGTGTTGAGAGATGTATCCATATATCTCCTAATTTTGCTCTCAAAGTGCACCAGATTGATGCTTTTAACTTCAATATTAAATAAAAATTCCAGGGGAGGATGCCCCCCGGACCCCCATAGAGGAGGTTAGGTTCCCCCCCCCCCACTTAAATGATAAATCATGTTCAAATGGATAGGAAACTAAATACATATGCACACATCTTGTGTCCATATCTTTCTGTTTTGGTGGTCATGCCACAACCGTGCATGTGCGAGTCATAGTGAGTGTCTGCATTTTTGTGGGGGGGGGGGGGGGGGGGGGGCGCACCAGCTAAAATCTTGCCTAGGGCAGAAAATTGGTCAGGGCTGGCCCTGGTAACAATCGTTTGATGTTGTTTGTGGATGATCTTCCCTTAATGAATCCTACCTGGTCTGAGTGTATTAAGTGTGGCAGAATGCTTTCCAGCCTCATAGCAAGAACCTTCGTCAGAATTTTGCAATCCACATTAATCAAACTAATAGGCCTATAGCTTCCTGGTTCAGTGGGGTCTTTATCCTTTTTAATAATTATAGAAATCAGAGATTCATTTAATGTTTCTGGCATTTCCCCCAGGGATAAAGATTCTTCATTTACAGTTGTTAATATTGGAGCCAGTTTGTCCACATACTTTTTATAATAGAGATAACTTTATTGAAAACAATTAAATCTATGAATAATAATAACAAAATATGTTTTCCATTTCATCTATACACTTTCAGTATTTAGTTAGAAAAAGGGCATTTAGAAAAACAAGTAGTATGGTCCCGATTACGTATCATTACGTACGACGTCACTGCTCTTGGTCAGTTGACGTCTTTGGATTCACAGTCAACCCGTCACAAGGTCAGCAGCAGTTCGGCGCAGACATGATGTCTCTTGCTGCCCGGTCAGGGGCATTTTCCCCTTACATGCAGGCAACAGCTGTTGCTGTTGCTGGTCCTCTAAAAGCTCTGGTACCCGGGGTCGTGGTAAAGGGAGAGAAGATTTTGTTAGACCCGAAAAAACAGTTCCTGTGCCGCGAATCGCTCAGCGGCCAAAGCCCTAAGACGGGCCCTGCTGTGACTGTTAGCATCAATGGTAAGTCATTGACTGCTAGCGTTGGCTGACTAAGTCAACCTTCCGTTGTTTTACCGTGTGAATGGGAAGCTTATGACAAGAGCCATGTGCTGCAACGGGAGGTTATGTCCTATTTAACACCGTTAACAGGACCAGCCAGTTAGCCGGCCATAACTTTACTGGCTAAGCTACTATTCACCGCAGGCGAGCATCCTGTTAGCCTAGGTGGCTAACGAGCAGCGTAGGTCAACTTTGAGTGGCTTTTACTTTACTCCTGTTTAAGACTGACCGCCGATTTGTGGACCAGAACATAAAGTGTGTGGTTTGGACAGTCTGCCCGTATCAACCTGATATAGTAACGGTAACGTTAGCTGTCGTTCCGGTAACTACTTCCGGTGTCCCCGGAACACCACAGTGACTTGTTTTGTAATCGGTAACAATAATGTTGTAGTCCGAGTAAGATGGTCAAAGCTGAATAATGATTTTAACATTGATATATTTCTTTGTTACTTCACTATTGTCATGTCTATATCCAGAGAATATTTGACTGTGGTCTGTGTCCTTCCTTATGTCCTTCGTGTAGTTGTATGTTCCTCTGTTGACTCTTCAAGATATGCTCTCTATTCTTAGTCTGTGTTATGTGGCTCACACGCTGTTCAGCTGCTTAGACAATTCAAGCTTTCCACAAGGCATTTACCCCCAGGCTTCTATTGTAAAGCTGCCAGATTTAAATGCGTATTTATAAATAATAATTTCTTAATGTTGCAGGGCCAAATGTCTGTGTGCTGATAAGATAATGCGGTTCATACTAACATCAAACCAACAACATGTCCATCCACGATGATTTGAACATGTCAGCCTATACTTCATGGACTTGTGTGTGTATAAGGCTGAATCTACTAATACATTTCAATATTATTTAATCTGACAATTTTCTTGATTTGTTTGCTCTAAAATATAGTTTGGATGAATATTTGATGTGAATGGTAAATTTGATTAAATACTTTTTTTTATAATCGGAATAAACTTGTATTACAGAGTTTTCACATCATGTGGCTTAGTCACATCTTAAGTGAACACTAGAAATATTTAAGATGCTGACTACATTGATTGTATAGTTGAGATTTATTTAAGGTTTTCCATTTTAGATGCATACAAATGTTTTAGGCTGTCAAATCTTGTGTTGCCTTTCACTTTCTGTCATCACTATCTTGCACCATTAATGTTTTCTGACCTAAGCATTCTAATGGCGCATTTCCACTGCAGGGCCTCGTACGGTATAGTTAGTCCTTGGTAGGCCAGGCTCACTTTATGCTGCGTTTCCATTACAGTTTAGGAACTGGGGTAGTATACGCAGTGTAGGCGAAGCCGTGGCGTCATCTTCAATGCGAAAACACAAGACCAACATTAGCTGTTAGCACCAGAGCCACAGCTCCTCATATCTGTTCAGAAACTAGACAAAAGTGAAACAAGTACAAACCACAGACTGTCTGTGTCATGGCGAATACAGTCGCTGCTTTATTTATGTCTGTAGGCTGTTGTTGTGAGTGTGGACGGTCGGAGCATATACTGCGTTAGCTCCATTCAGAAAACCCAGGGGACCCTGTTTTTTTTTTCCACGACACTGTGTCTCAGGGGATCTTAATATTTAAGAACCTATTAATGTGTTATCAGTGTGCGAAAAAGTACACGTCCCACCGTCCGGGACGTGTTATTTACAATATCGGACAAGTAGATCTTTCAATTGACGTGTCCGCCATTGTTCGTTTAGAAATGTTAGTTTCCGTTCTGCTTGTCAATTCCTAAGGAAATGCATCTCGCCGCTTTCTGTACAATTAGACGGGGGCGGGGTGGGAAGTGTAGCACAGTGGCAGGGTTGGGAAGCAAAACTCGGTTCCGAGTAGGAACAAATAACAATTGTCCGGTCCCGGGATTAATAAGAGTTGTGAGGACAGGAGGCGAGGCCGAGCCCCGCGGACCGCAGCTCTCTCTCTCTATGCTCCGTATCAGCTGATCACTGCATGGTGCAGCTCAGCGTCTCTCTCTCTCTTTCTACACACAGCAGATCCGCTGCCCGTTTAACAGCCTCATCTTTGTCAAACTTTCTTATGTTCTTTCTTTAACACATAATGAAGGTTATTAAGTGTTTTAGCTCCTGTGTTGTTAATATTGACCGCCATTTCCTTTATGAAGTAAAGCAACCTCCCTGTCTGTGTCCTCGCGCTGTCCTCACATCCCCGGACCCCCAGACTCGGAGGAGCACAGGGATGTCAGTATTGTTTATGAAGCAGGGTATAGAAAGTACATTATTGAAATGAAAATACTATTTATTTTCTTTTACAAACAGTGAGCAGGTGCAGCATGTGTATTGCAGGACATGTGTAAGCGTGCAAGCGTCTTTGAGTTGTAGAAAAGCGCTAGGCCTATAGGCTATACATATAATGTATTATTATTAGGTTATGTCCTATGTGTTGGACATGTGTGGTTGGACTCTGTCTCACAGGCAGGTTGCAGTGTAACATCAGAGGAGACTGGGCCAATTGTACATTCTCAAACTGCACCACTTAGAACTAACTAAACAATGCAGAGATTATATATAATTGTATTCAATAACCGTAAGAAATTAAACAGTATGAAGTGATTTGTAAATAGGAATACAGATTTGACTTAATGTTTTCATAAATATATTTTTCTCCCAGTTTGTCATGGGACTTATTTACCCTCTCAAAGAACCTGAATCGAGAACCCAAAATAACCGGAATCGAAAAGCAGAACCGGAATCGTTAAAATCCAAACGATACCCAACCCTTTGTGTGATGCAGTAAAATGTAACCGCTCACTTACGTTAGCGGTGTCGTAAAAACCGTGGGAAAATGTAAAATATGATGATGAAGAAGAAGATTCCAGTGGCCCCAATTTTTGTCCATTCTGGACAAGTGAAAAATGTATTCGGACAAGTAAATTGCCAAACTCACTTGTCCATGGACAAGTACTCTCTAAAAACTTTTTCTCACACTGGTTATACCAGATTAACGGAAATAATCTCAGCTAACTGACGATACAAACCATTTTTACCAAAACAAAACACAAGTCTCATATGAAGCATCTAAATGACCCCTTAGCGAAAAATGCTAATGGACATTGGCTCAGAACTCAAGATAAAAGTACCCTTATTACTTATCGTAGCTACACATACAAGATATCCGATTAAAGATGAGGTTCCACAGATTATTTAGGTATATAGTATCATCACTGAGTGATCTGAACTCCCGACAGGGGAAGCAAACAGACATCACAACACGTACCTTTACGGCGCTTCTAGGGAGATCGTCTCACCGTAGCTGTCAATCTGATCAAAAGACGTGTTCAATGGCATTAAAACGAGAAAAAATGCGGCTGAATCGGTTAATCCATAGGTTTTTAACATCTCTGTATAAAAAATTATTTCATTTATAATCCATAATTCCATTTTTATGTAAAAATCGCAGAGCAAACGTTAGCTGCTAATGGTAGCCACCAGAGTGGCTGCTTCTTCCGGTCTTGGCTATGCAGCAGTCTATCACACAAGCCTCATCCCAATACCCCTCCTCAACTCCTCTCTTCCCCTCCTCCGGGACTTGACCCGGAAATCGATCAAGACACGCCATTTTGAAGGACGTCCCAATAGCTGAAATGCACACGGAGGAGTCGAGGAGGGGTGCGGGAGGAGACGAAAGGGAGGATACACGAGAGCAGACTACGCGGAAGTGTTTTCACTACTTGCGTATAAAAGCCCCGCCCCCACCTTCACAGCTGGTCCATTTCAACAGAGGAAAACCCACAACTGGAAGATGAGTGGAAAAGCGTCACATAAATGTATAAGTGCTCACAGCTCCGTGGGAATTATTATGTGCAATTCATTTCTAAAAGGCTTTCACGTTACTATAATTATATTTTTATTTAAATGTAGGCTACATTTTACACCAAAATGGAACACAAAAGCAGGACCAACCATCATACATTGAATTCCTTGACTAACAAGAGAAAGATTCATTCATTTAAATAAATATTTAACCAGAAATGGGCCGGTTCTAAAGGGTTATTCAGTTAAGCCCGATGAGAGGGGATACAGCTGTGCACATGTCATCATTAACAGACGTCGTTTAAGAGTGACGTTTGAGTGAACGAGGACATCCCAATTAATACCTGAGGACTCCTCTGTCCTCGCGTCACCTCCTCGTGTCCCTCGCTCGCATTTTACGGAGGCGGAGCTAAGATGCAAGGAAGGGACGCGAGTGAGGGAAAGGAGGAGTCGAGGAGGGGTATTGGGATGAGGCTACACACATTACCAAATAAGGACTAGGTGGGAGTTCCCCTCGATTCCATTGGCTCTGACGGTCAGAAAGAGATGTCACGTGTCAAAATCCAGCAAGGGGGGCTAGAGATATGGAAAATCCACCCAAATGGCCCCAGACGAGGGGTTTTTTTTTTGCTAAATCTTTCTAAAAAGGTCAAATATCACTTGTTTTGCATCCATCTTGATACAGAGTACTTATTATATGTTGTACTTTGGATTCCTAAAGCTTTTAGTCTACTAACCCATCATCCAAGGTTAGTTTTCACTATAAGTGAAACATATTTATTGGACGGACACTATAATTTACAGTTTTTTACCATGTTCAATCTGAATTTTCTTTAAAATAAAAAACGTCTATATTGATTCTAACTTTTCTACATCCAACTCACAGGTTTATCATTACTTTGAGAAAAAAGATTATTAATGTAACCCTTTAACCCTGAGCCTGTTTTTCAGGTTTCAGGCTCGAAAATGCCACTAACACAACAAATGATATATCTTCACTTCTAAAAGGGGTAAATGAATAATTATTTTTCTCAAAGCAAGGTTACATCTGTGAGTTGGATGTAGAAGTGTCAGAATCAATATAGATGTTTTTATTTTAAAGTAAATTCAGATGGAACATAGTAAAAACATGTAAATTATAATGTCCACCTAAAAAAAAAACCTTTACTTATCGTGAAAA